TTAATATTATTCGCAATGATATTTTCGAACTTAAAATTGTTCCATTCGGTATATTTAACCAGAAAATTCAGGTATTGGTATTTATGGCAAACATATTTGTGCTTTAGAATCAAATTTACTACAGTCACTTTGATATTTAGAATGTACAACTAAATGAGAGAATTTCCATAATTTTTACCTCAAAAGCTTCCATTCTTTCTACCATTTCGGTGAATTTCTTCATCGATGGCTATAATATCTTCATCTTGTCCAACATTTTCAAAATATATCTTTCTTAAGTTTCTGATGCGCATTTGAATACTTTGAAGCGATCTATACTTCAGCGATCTATAAATATACTATAATATTTAAATTTAGTTTTTGATTACACTTATTACATTCCTTAACTACGTTTTCTAATCGAGTTAGCTTCGTTTTTAACTCTGTTTTACTTCTATCTAATGCCAGCATTTTGTTCTCTACTCCGGCTTAAGGGCCAGTGTACCATCTTTTTATAATTTTAAACTAAATGAGTCGGCTCTATAATATAGAACACTAACAAATTTATAAACGGTAATTACTAATTAAGTAATTAATGCACTACATGCTCGAACACGTACGCTGATAAAGTGTTACAGTTTTACAGACGTTTAAAAAATGATCAATTGATAAAGTTTCTGTTTTACACGGATGAGGGTCTCTAGCTTTGCAGACGTTTAAGAAATTACTGAAGGATAAAGGTGATCTATACGGAGGAAGTATTCCGACTTTACAGATAGTTGAGAAAAGGATGAGAGATAAAGGTCCTTGATTGAATTTGAATAAATTTTCTTTGCTTACGAAGTATTGTAAAGAGACTGTTCCGGACTGGTAACTGGCTAGCGACTTAAAATAGCAGCTTCTGGTTCCGACTAATGATGTGCAATTATCCAGCCGTTGTACTATTAAGAGATTGTTTCGAACTCATATTTAGCGTCATGGAGAAGACGGCTTCTCTCTATAAACAATAACGAACAGCATTAAAAACTGTAAGTGATTGTGTTAAGTACAGTTTATATTAATTAATTTGCAGCCTGATCCACCGTGTGTTATCCTTCAGCATCGCGTAACCTTGTTTTTTACATTTCGGATTCCGGCAGTATCTTCATGTAAGTGCTCTTCATTTCCTCTTAGTTAGTAGAGTCGATAATGCAAATCTGAATTTTTGAAAGTTAGATTGTGTTAAGGAGTTGGTCCCAAGATTAAGGTAAAATAATTATGTATGAGTTTATTGGGAATTAATATGTTGCTGTGCTGCTTAGGGACAAACACTAATGTTTGTGAAAACTGCAGCGGCATAAAGGAATTATGCAAATTTAACCAAACTTACAGGAAATGTAAAGTGAGGCAAGATATGCAAATAATTAGAAATGTAAAGACTGGGCATGCGTGGAATGAAAAACAACCGTTTGTTTAATGTATATAGAGGACTGCAAAGTTTCCTTGAAATCTGTTTATCGTCCTCTGTGTGCGGTGACTGTTTAATTAGTGGTCAATATACCTTGTCAACAGCGGAGTGTGCCATGTCAATAACTAACGGGTTTCGAATGAGGCCGCGTCCTCGGTATGCGAGAGGGTGGACTCTCGTATCGAAAAATCACAGCCCGCACCCAGCATAATGCCACAACAGTGATGCGTGTTTGGAAGAAACGGGCAGAGGAGAATCAAACAAGGCGAAATCCTGGCAGTAGCATAACGCAATAACACTATGGCACCGGACGAGAGACATCTCATCCGCATGGCTGTGACTGATCGTACAGCGTTCTCTGGTGTGTTAGCACAAAGTTGGAGCATGACTACAGGTATTGTCTATCTGCACGGTTCATCGCCATCTGCTGCAGCATGAACTGCCTGCAAGGGTTTCTCTACGCAGAATTATACTGCCGCTGAATCACATTCGTCTCCGACTTCAATAGGCATGGCAGCAGAAAGCATGGCGGGCCCTGTGGCAACAAGTTGTTTTCTATGATGAATCTCGCTACAATCTGGAGTGCAATGATGGAAGAGTACGCGTCACACGTTGCAGAGGAGAGATACTCTAAAAAACAGCATGTTATCCAGCGTCATACCGCACAAACGCCTAACATCAGAGTGTAGGGAGCTAACTGTCGATCCCATCTAGTGAAGATTGCTCGCAACCACAGCAGTGATTGCTACTTAAGGGAAGTTGTGGAGCCATAGGTCTTTCCCATTCTTCGACGCATTACGGGCGCTGTACTTAAACAGGAAAATGCCCGTGCACATGTTTCTCAGATTGCACAAGCCTTCTTTAAGGCACAACGCATTTCGCTTTTTCCATGGCCTTCTTGTTTCCCAGATATGTAGCTCATTGATAATTTCATCGGTCGGCGATTCGCTCGTATAGCCAGTGGGGCACACACTAAGACTGAACTTTGGGGAACTATTGCCTAGGATCCCTCAAAGCCATATGGTTTACCATTCCCCACGATTACATTCAAAACCTGTATGATTTAATGCCATCACGTGTACAGGCTCTAATCTCTCAGCGTAGCGGACACACAAAGTACTGATTTCCAAAGTTCGCTTTGTTTGTTTGTCTTGTAAATTCCATCGTTTATTTATACTAGTGTTAGTAATATGTGGAATAAATTTCATTCATTTCCGACAAATCCTTCGTGGGTTTGAGTTATTGTGGCTGAGATTATGTGATTTTCTGTCTATAACAGTAGAGTTAAAGAAGATTAAATTTTCTATGTAAACGAACCCGGTTAATTATTATTGTATTTTATTGTGTGACAATGTTCGGCTGAAAGAAAAATTAAAATTTTCTATGTTTATTAAATTTTTATTCAGAATTATTCAACAAAATTCCTGAACAAAATATGTTTTTGCGTTTTCCGAAGAGAAATATTCCTATTCCATAATTCGAAAAAAGTTGTGAAATGTATGGTACTAAACTTTCTAAGCAAAAAATAAGCAACATTTATTAATAGGAAAACGAAAAACCGCCAGTTATTACATCTACATGGATAGACGACTCCAAACGAGTACCCCAAAAAGGTACGTATTGCTTCTAATGTTTCTAAAGTTAAATCATTGATAAGAAGAGAAAATATGCCGATGCAGAAAATAATTGCAATACATCTGTAGCAACAATAAATAAAACAATAAAATATGATTTAAAAAGTTAAAAATTACAATGTTCACCAGCTTTTGCCGAGGCATGTGACTCAACGCAGAACAATTTGTGGAATCCTCTGAGAAAATTGCTTAGTAGGAAGTAACTGGAAATACATTGTGATTCTTGAAAGAGCATGAGTTTACCTAAATGTCTACAACAAAAGAAGTTCATTTATTATCGAAAACGAAGGAAAAAAAGTGTACAAACTGGTTGCATCAATGCAAAGAAAGTTTCTGTAAAGATTTCATGATTGTCGCAGAATTCTATTACAATGGAAAATTGTAAATAAGAAGAGTGGGCAAAATATTAAAATCGACACATGTTCTATCAAGAAAAAATTTTACGTCCGATATTTACAAAAGTTTCATTTTTTTTATCCCAATATTTCAAAGAGTGAGATTTCATAAAGACAAAGCAACACGTGATGCTTCAAAAATTACCTCTGGACTTCTTGATAAAATGAAGACTGATATATCTTTTCGACGCATTTCAGCGTTTCACTTATAGAGCTTGTAGTCTCTTGAAAAGGGTTATTTCTAAGCACAAACAGACTATTCTCTGGAAATTAAGGGAAAAGAAATGGAAATGAATATTTCTGGAAACTTTATGAATATCCTTTCTATCACGGAAATCCCAATGCAGACTTATAATCCAGAGAAAAAGGCTATCAGATCGAACGTTTAAAAAATTGCCTTTCTTTTTAAACATTGATGACCCAGCAATTATTCTAAAAATGCTTAACTGCTCTCTTATATTTTTCGTCCGCATTGAAACAAAAAGATCAGCTTCAGAAGAAAAGGGACATATTGGGAATTTAGGTTTTCATGTTACATTACTCACCAGTCGCCCCTCCCAAAACCCTACAATTTCACATATAGTTTCATTAAAATTATCTACATATGCACAATTTCGTAACAATATTATAGAATAAATTTTTTACACTGAAGTAGTGTCGCCGAATAAAATCAAATTAGATTGCAAAAATTGTCAACTGACAAAGACGTGTGGCCTAATAAAGAATTAAGATCCCAAACAGCGTGGTTTTGATTTTAACCCATCGTTTTGAATTAGGAGCAAAAGGAAACTTAGTTTGGCATAGAATTTTGAATAATTCTATCGATTTTTGAGAGAGATCAGAGAAAGGTTAATCGATTTGAGGAACTTTTTGATTTTGAGGGCGATCAGACATTTCTTCAGTAACCAAAAGATTTCAACAGGAATTTTGTTTTTCCTCCTGCACCCTAAAAAAGTTCTTGAAATCATTTATACTAAACTAAGGTTACTTTTTTTGGTCAAAATAAAATTCGCATATTCTTTTCCAATGAGTGGAAGATGCTCTTCGATGTTAAGATTTGGGTACAACATTGGTCAAATAATTTCCAGAGAATTATTGAACAGTTTATAAATGAGCTTTTACATTAAATTAAAGACATTACGAACATTTCACAAATAATCTTTTTTTTTGTGTATTTTCCTAATTAAAATACTGTGAAAGTACTTTTATGTTATTATTTTAATTCCGTTGTTGTTTTAAGGGACATTTTTGTCGCATCGTTTAATGTTATCAAAATAACTGTGGACAAACATGATCACATTCAGTGGCGCCTACCGTACTGACTATAGAATATGCTGAAACGGTTGTTGAAGAATTATGAAGTCTCATTTCCTTGCATTTTGCTACTTATAAGATACTGTCAGGCTGATTAGAACGCATTAGATGATGTATTTTTCTGAAAGGAGTTAATTTTATCAGCACTGTCGAACTCTTTTCATTACAAAAAATGAGCCTTTTGTGGCAAGTTAGACCATGTATACTTATTTACAAATATGCTTCACTTACCTGGCATTTGAATCGTACATTTCGAGCGGCTTCACTTTTCCCTTGGTTGGCTGGTTCCTCTGAGCAACTACTTGGGCAGAAAATAAAGCGAAAGAGCCGCAAGAAGCCATTCCGAAATCGATTGCTCATAGCAGCATATATGAAGGGATTGACGCAAGAGTTCGAGAAAGCAAACAGATTAATGCAAAGCATGGTGAAGAAGAAATTTTCCCGCTCCATAAAATTAACTGCTTGGTATTGCGTAATGATGCTCACTAGAAAGTAGGGCGTCCACGCCACAGCAAAGGCAAGGACCACCATCAGAACCATTTTGGCCACCTGTTCGGAGGAAAAAAAAACATTTCAGAGTTCAGTTTAATCTTAATGATAAATAATTGTGTAACAATTGTGGTAATTTACAAAGTTTTAAAAAGTCCGTATTTAACATTAATAAATTACCGAATTACTCGTTCTTTTGTTTTTTATTTACTAGAACAGCATTGGCTAACTCTGATATGAAGTGAAAGTAATTATTTTAAGAAAAGAGTTGAAAGAGAACAATCGTTTAAAATAGGATATATGCACGGTTTAGAAGAAACATTGCATTTTAAGACTGTCACAACGCGATTTGCCCTTTTTAAAATGATCGGCTTTCGGTGATAGAAGACTGCTTCGCTTTTTTCCAGAAGTATGTTGAATCTATTGTTACAGTCCACTCACCGATAATTTAACAGCTCTTGGTGAAAGCATGCCAGGAAAGTTCGATTCCCATTTTAGGGGCGAAAGGAAAGTTTCTAAGATTTCGCCTACCATGTAAACACTGAAATTTTATATTATTTTTCGGAATCGATCTGGCCATCCTTTTTACTTCCTTGTTCGAAGTAAAAGATATATTCGCGAAAAATTTCGGGTGTCATATTTCAGCGGAAATATCCATTATGACCGCTCTCGAATTCATTTGGATGATTTGTTTTTTGAGTGACATTTTCAAGTATGGACAGAGTAAAGGACTCTTTTTTTTTCCAAAACGTATGTAAAATGGTTTTAAAAGGGTTTCAGAATGGATTTTTTTCGTAACGTGTGTTTATATGTAACGTATGTATGTAACTCGTATAACTAAAAAACGATTAGCAGTAGAACGATTAGCCATACGAAATTTTGTATATGGGTGTGCTATAATATTTAGTTGTGATCCTCTCTTTTTCAATGCAATCGGTCGGATCAAACATATATATTTATAATATACACCACCTTACCCTCCTCAGTGAGATGTGCTTTTTATTCTTATATGTTGGTAAATTGTGTATTTTTTGCTTTAAAAGTGATTGAATTATGTCATTCTTGTGTTCCGGTTAAGGTTTTTATGCATTTAGTTAATGTACATGCAATAGCTGTAGAATTATCAACGATTTAAAAGTATAAGTGGAGTTAAGTGGAAATTTAATTGAAGAACCCCCTTCTTATCTAATTCACGAACTGCACAACATTTTCCCGTCCCCTCTTTCTAAAAACTTGAATTCCCAAGAAGATGTGTGCTACAAAAAGTCATTTATCGACATTAATGGGACATTTCATGGAGACTATAAGCCTTTATTTTCGTTTATAAGATATTGTGAAAATTGTTCATACAAAACAAATATTAATTAAAATCTGGCGTGTGTTAAGTAGAAATGAACTTCTTTACACTCATATTAAAGTTTTATGATGCTTAAAAGAATAACGAGTCAGCTTTTTCTTATTCTCTATAAGAATTAAAAACGTTTCAAGTCGTAGATATTAGTTGCTGATATATATATATCAGTTTTGAATTAAAAAATTGATAGGTTAATGACATACATAAAATTGATGTATAATCAACCTATCTAATATCGGATTTGTAGCGGACCTTAAATAAGTTTTCTTGTCTAGATCAGAGTTTCTGTGGGTCACCAAAAATGTTAGTAGTTTTGATATTTCTGTAACTTATTATAATAATTTTACAATTATCAAATACTTCTACACAATGTGTCTGAAAATAGATAAAGATAAGACAATACAGACAAAAAAAAAAAAAAAGTTTCGACACATTCTTTTTATAATATAAACGTTCATTTTACTTGCTTTGCACGTAAGGCTGTCAATTTATCTGTTACTTATTTAAAATTTTCACACTGTTCTATGTCTTAAAATTAGAAATATTTATTGTTAATTAAAGTGATCATGTAAATGTTTGAAGAAATTAATAATTAAATTAAGAAAAACTTAACATGATATCTATTATAACAACATTACTATGCGTTTGTAAGACTGACATAAATTTCAAATCAATTTAAATTATTATGCTAAGAAGATTTTTCTAAAATTTATCTAGAAGGAAAAAGTTAGATAAACAGTTCTGCAAATTAATATAATCAATCAGGGCTATCAGTAAATAAAAGCTTATTTTTTTAACCAAAAATTAAAAATTGGGATGCAAAAGTTTATGTAATATACTTGGAAATATCTGAACATATAATTAATTAGAAACGTATAATTAAATTAATAACAAGCTAATTAACAGCAACATTAAGCTTAATTGCATTCAGTCTAAAACAAAAAATTGCTTAGGAGCTCCGCATAACTGAAGTTGTATGGCTATTTTACGTACATTTGCGTATAAAATAAAAGTTGCACTTGTGAAACAAGTGAATAATGTACTGATAGTCAACAGGAATTAAAATACAGTGGTTAAATATATGACTACTTGTCAGATGGTATGCATAGTTGCCATAACTAGGAAAATTGAATGATTATAGAAAACTCATAAAGTTAAGCTCTACAATGTAAAAAGAAAATTAGATGGAGAAATAATCCTTAATTTATTTATATCCATATAAACTCTATGCTTTTGGAAAAAGTTACATATAGTTTGCACCGAGGTATCAATCACAGAAACCGAGTTAATGTTTTTCCTTATTTTGTCTTATTAAAGGGATTTGTAATGACATATGCTAAGGTAAAGGTGATTTTTTATTCATTTTTGAAGAATAAATTTAAAAAGTATTTTTACTTTTACAATACATTTTACCACAGTAAATAAGTACAAAAAAGAAAGAGCTGGGGGATCTCTGATATTAGAAACTCGGGTCGAACTACTAATGTTTAGTGACTTTTCCGCTTGATCATAAGACCTTTTGAAATTAGGCTGAATAATATATTAAGGAAAATAGAAGATACAGCACAGATAAGAACAAAAGTAGCTGAATTAGAGATTTACATGTTTGGTGAATGAGTTAAGCTTATCTGTATGCCATTATGAAATATTAGGAATGTAGCATAAAAGCATCAATGAAGAAGGCAATGGTAATCTAAATCATTGTAATCTAAATGTATAACATTATCAGTATTTGCTATTAATTTCAATACTGCTAAAAATTATAAATGAATTATATTATAAATCACATGAACTCGTTGCATTGTAAATTACAACAGTTAAAAATATTATTAACATGATTTAGCGATTATCTTTGTTTGCAAATAATTTCAAATAATTAATTTTACAAATAATTTAGCATGAAACTAGATTGGAAAAAAGCTGCATGCTGAAGATTAATCTTTACCAATGTGTTATAAACATCTTCTGTTAACTAGATTTATGATGCAAGAATTTATAAAAGTTATGATTTAAATATAGATTGACATAAATTCAATACAACAATATATAAATTCGATACACATGAAAACTTGAATACAGTGCAACAATATGTGAAAAAGGAATGGATTAAAAGGGATCTGAAAATCCCAAGATATTAATAAGGGAGTTCGATTTTTTTTGTTAATTATGAAAATTCTGCAGATGCTCATAATTATCAATTTATTAATTAAATGTTTATAAGAAATTAAATGTATGCCAAAGTACATCAGGTAGAGTAAATATTTAAACGTTTCTAGTATTAAAGTATGAAATTTGTAAGAAAGTTAAATAACCTTACAATAACCTTCCATGGCTAAAAATGGAAAGCTTAATACGGCGTGTATTGCAATAATATTAGTGTGAATTTAGAACCACTTAAGAAATCCAATTTTTAGATTTAATAAAGAGAATTTTTTAAATTAAATTAGAACTGTTTACCTAAAATGGTAAATTTGAAAATTAAAATCATTCTGCTATCTAAGAAGATTTGTTAATATTTATCTAGACCAGGGCTTCTTAAACTTTTTTCAGTCGTGACCCCTTTTGATCACCAAGATTTTTTCACGACCCCAGGACCCCACAATATTTACGAAAAATTTGTGAGACCCCATAAGCATTGCGCAAATCCGACGCACGCGTGAGTGAAACTTTCAGTTTTTTCACAAGTGCTGTAGTATACTATTGCAGTTTTAGATCATTAGCTTTTTTTTTTTTTTTTTTTTATTTGAAATTTATGTCAAGGTTACAAACGCCTAGTAATGTTGTTATAATAGATATCATGTTAAGTTTTTCTTAATTTAATTATTAATTTCTGCAAACATTTACATGATTACTTTAATTAACAATAAATATTTCTAGCACACTTTAACACACTTTGATACGGAATAGTCTTTTGCACGCCAGTGAACTGTATCAAATTTTCCAGTCTAGTTCAGGCATCATGACTAATATTGATGTAATTTTATAAAAAATATAATTGGTATGCTTTATAATTATTTAATTTATGGTATTATTATAATGCTCTCTGCTCTAATATTATAATTAATGAAAGATGTTTGTAATGCTAATATGTATGTTTACTAATACTTTTTATTTTCTTCGTTAGCTCTCGCATTTATTACTGTTATTCAAGTAATTAGCCTGATTGTTAGATATTCGTTACTTCTTCTTGTGATTGTGATATGTAATTTATTTCTTAATTTTATTTTCCTCTTGGCTACGGAGGGAGGAAGAAATTTTGATTCGCGCAGTTGGAGTATACCCAATTTGAGTCGTATAATCGAAATATGGAAAAAAAAAAAAAAAAAAAAAAAAAAAAAAAAAGGTATGTCATTTGAGAAAAAGTCCGATTTCATGTCAAAATACCTATATTATAACTATGCTATATATAAATGTAATATATATCCTATGTCGCGCTTTTGAGACATGAAAAACGCAAGTTGAATTTCATCGATCGACCCAGTAAAACGAGAGATGTAGAACTGCCCGCCCTTTTTGTTAGTTCAAAGTAGCAATTTGCCCAGAAGGACTATTAATTTCGTTTTGGCATTTTGTGTTGATTCACTACATGCGTTGTTTCTCTTTTCAAATTGTTGCCATCAAATATTATCGCCCTCTATTATATTTAAAGAAATTAAATAATGAAGAATCTGCATAAATGTATATATGTTTCCCGCATTGTGATAAA